AGAGAGAGAGAGAGAGAGAGAGAGAGAGAGAGAGAGAGAGAGAGAGAAGAGAGAGAGAGAGAGAGAGCGGAGAGAGAGAGAGAGAGAGAGGACGAGAGAGAGAGAGAGAGAGAGCGAGGAGAGAGAGAGCGAGAGAGAGAGAGCGAGAGAGAGAGAGAGAGAGAGAGAGAGAGAGAGAGAGAGAGAGAGAGAGAGAGAGAGAGAGAGAGAGAGACAGAGAGAGAGAGAGAGACAGAGAGAGAGAGAGACAGAGAGAGAGAGAGACAGAGAGAGAGAGAGACAGAGAGAGAGAGACAGAGAGAGAGAGACAGAGAGAGAGAGAGCGGGGGGGGGGGGGGTGGAAGAGAAAGTGAGAGAAAGAGAGAGAAAGAGAGAGAGAGAAAGAGAAAGAAAGAGATAGAGAAGGAAAGAGAGAAAAAAGAGAAATGGAGATAGATAGATAGATAGATAAACAGAGATGCCATGGTATGACTAGCTCGTGCAGACCAGAATAACTCGTCTCCTTATCGGGTGATGCGAGCCAAGAGGAGAAGGATGTTGTATTGACTATTCTCCATTTTTTCTTTGCTTCTTCCCAATCCTTATTTTCGTTATATTTTCTTATTTTCCTCCTTTCCCCCTGTTTTTTTCCGTATGAAAGAAGTGAGAAGAAATTACGGGCAGTCCTAAGAGAGACAAATTTGAACACCATTTCGGTTAAGAAAAAAATATATAGACTTATTTTCAGGTGATTAAACATAAAGATACAGTAAAGTATTTTCTGATGATTAAACATAGAGATACAGTTAAGAAAAGTTACGCAATCCATGGTTAAGTTCCTACGTATTTTCTCCCTTTTTAAATCATATTAGGCCTACATTATCACAATTGTATAATGGTTTCCAATTATGAATCTATTGAACTGAGAACACATTTAACCTTTAAAAAGCACTTTAATGATAGCTTTTAGGGCCTCATAATGGCTTTCGGATTATTCATGCAATTCATTATTCATACATTTTTTGTGTGTAAATACAAGTACGTAATTCATTACACGCACACACTTATTCATGAGAAGCTGTGTTTTCTACCATGCTTAAACGCATACTAACATGAACACAAGTACATGCATTTATAAACAAACACATACAAGTAAACGCACACAGACACAGACACAGACACAGACACAGACACAGACACACACACACACCACACACCACACACACACACACACACACACACCACACACACACACACACACACACACACACATATATATATATATTCTGTGTATATATATGTACACACACCAGAAGGATGACTCACCTGACTTGCCGACGCCCTCGGCTCCCAGGACCACGACACGCAGACGAGACACCTGCTGCTGCCTCGGCCGCCCCGGGGGGGACGAGGGCACCTTGGCACTCTCTTCACCCCCGCGCATCTTGTCACCTGGGGGGAGGGAGGTGAGGGTTTAGGTGTGGCCAGGTTTTTTTTTTTCTTCTTCTAGCAGTGTTACACAAGGCGAAAGGCTTTCGTTAATTATAGGTTTGGGAAGGATGGGTGTTCGTGGGCGTGAGAAGATTGATGGAACGAATTACGTGGCTTAGTGGAGATTGATTTACGCTGATAGGTACGTGGCTCATAGTAATTCTGGTAAGCTTTATGGGCAAAGAAAATTTAAAACAAACTATTTCTAAACTTATTATTATGGCACCATGCAAATGAAATTATTGTGAATGACTATTTCTATGAGGTACTGAACAAATTGTGACAATTAATCCATGCGATTTTAAGACGATGATCACCCTTATTATTTTCAAAGCAACGACAACTGAATTATAATTTGATGGTAGCCATATAAATGCCGAAGTAATGCTCGCCAACACAAGACTCCCAAGATACGTAATATTCACCGATGCAAATAGTCACCGCCACAGTACACACGCAAAACTCATCATTTTCACCTGCGCGGGCTGGTTCCTGCACATCACCAACACAAGACTCACGCAGAACTCATCAGACTAACCTGACTGTTGCACGGGCTGGTTCCTGCACATGGGTTCGGAAGCTGGCGACTCGCAAGCAAATCCTGCGTCTTCTTTCCCCTCTCCCCTCTTCCGCTGGGTAAGGTCGCCCTCCTCAGAGAGCGTGCGCCGTGGCTCTCCCCGACATTGTGTTGTGGCGATTCCAACGGTGCAGTAAGTTCCTATCTGGCGCTGTTGGTATCGGGATCCTTTGCGTGTCCCCCAAAAGGTGCGGGGAATATTTCACTTTTGTACGCAGCAATTTACATAAACACAAGGACGCTTGGCCTCTTGCTAACGTAAAATATTAATAAAACAAATATTTACAGTTTTCTGTTTCACGAATGTCTATTTCAGGACCCGGAAAAGCCTTCGAGATAGCCGTTGCACAACCCGTAAACAAACAATGGGCGCTCAAGATCATTTCCTGTTTGCTTTCCCAGGACTCGTGTTTGGGCGACCGGGAGCAACGTGGCGCGCGTCTGACTTCATCC